AAAAAAAAATTTCTGGACAGAGCCAGCGAGATCTGCGGGGTGACAACAAGTGACTTAACACTGTCATCAGAGTCTCAGGAGGCCAATAGAAAGAAAATGCAGCTGGCTAATAAATTTTCAAGTTTGGCAAAAGATAATAACTTACATATTCAAGAAGCTGAGCGAGGAAGCTAAAACTAAAGCTGTCCACAGAAAAACACATAATAGTCAAACTTCTAAACACTAAAACCAAAGTCTTGAAACAGTAAGACAGAAAAAACATCTTATAGGGGAAAATTAATTGGATGACAGCAAAGTTTTCATCACCAGTTGTTGTGGCCAGAAATGAATGGTAGAATAGTTTTCACCAGTTGGCATGCACGCCATCAATGCAGAATCCTGTATCTAGAAAAATGTCTTCAGAAATGCAGAGAAAATTAAGATATCCTCAAGAGAAAGAAAACTGAGATAGTTGTCATCAGCTAACCTACCTTTAAAGAGTAGCTAAAGAAAGATCTCTGAGCAGAAAGGAAATAATAAAAGCAGGAAACTTGGGACGTCAGAAAGGAAGAGAGAACATAGTAAACAAAAAAAAATGCTCTCTGCAATACAACAAGTTGTTCTTGTCCTCTTGGGTTTCCTAAGTTATGTTTGGTAGTTTAAGTTACTATTATAACACTGCCTAATGTGGTTCTAAATGTATTGTAGAGGATTATTTAAGACAATTATATTATAAATGACAGAGGGCAACAGGAGACTTCAGTAACACTCTTTGAACAACTATAGAAAAACTAGAAAGACTAGCACTCCGGGAGGCTGAGGCAGGTGGATCACCTGAGCTCGGGAGTTCAGACTAGCCTGAGATGGAGTGAGACCCTGTCTCTAAGAAAAGCTAGGCATCGTGGCTGGTGCCAGTAGTTCCAGGTTGGAAGGCTGAGGCAAGAAGATCGCTTGAGCCCAAGAAATTGAAGTTGCTGTGAGCTAAAATGCCATGGCACTCTACCCAGGGCTACAAAGTGAGACTGTCTCAAAAAAAAAAAAAAAAAAAAAAAAAGAAAATATTTAATGTGTTTTTCAAAAATCATTTATTTTTACATTTGTTGTCAAAATATAATATTTCCCTTGAAGAAACCATTGTATTTCTTTTCTGACATTTGATGGATATTGTAATGCTTTTTGTCAAAGATAAAATAACCAAATTTAGATCA